ATCCTTATAGGTCTATGTGTCCTGGATTTCATATGCAGAAAATGATACAAAACACAAACAGGAAGCAAACAAACCAAAAATCCCGAAAATAATGACTCGATAAAATATAGAAAAATCTCAATCTAAAAGAAAGCAGGTTTTGAGAATGATGATGGCAACAAATGTGCTTGACACAATGGATGTATGTATTGTGGTAAGCATTGTATGAGCCCCCAATAAAATGATCAAAAAGAAAAACAAACATAAGATAGAAAAAAAATAAAGCTAAATAAATAAATAAAAGAAAGCAGGAACTATTAAAATGGAAATAACTTTAAAAGGGATCAAGAGAGAGATCAAATGATAAAGTGTTACATTGTAGCCTAACTATATCTGCCATAATTGACTTTACAATGTCTGGGGATATTTTCTGAGAAACACTAAAATCACCTGTTTCCAACACTTTAGATCATCTAAGCCAGAAGTGGGAAACATCTGGCCCTCAAGTGTCTAAGGTCCTTGAAGTCATCAGCTGACACCATAACATCACACAGACTCATAGTGACATTTTAGGCAGGGTAGAACTGCCCCTGTGTGTTTCTGAGATTGTAACTATTCACGGGAATAGAAAATCCCATGTTTCTCCCCTAGATCTGCTGATAGTTTAGAACTGCTGACCTTGTGGTTTAGCAACCCAACATGTAAGTACTAAGTCACCAGTGCACCTTAGCTATAACATTACCAAAAATAAAACTAAACTAAAAGCACACTCATTGCCTTAGAGTTGATATTGACTCACAGTGACCATATAGAACAGAGTAGAACAATCCCTGTGAATTTCTGAGATTATAACTGATTAGGAGCAGAAAGCCCAGTATATCTCTCTTGGAGCTGCTGGAGGTTTTGAACTGCTGATTTACAGCCCAACTGGTAGCCACTATGCACCAGGGCTTCTAGCTATCACCTTAGGGGTGAGTGGAATAAATGTTTGACCAAGATGGCCCATGAACGATGTTATAAATATCCAAATGGCCCATGGCAGAAAAAGGGCCCTCACCCCTGATCTAAGCCAAAGGAGCTGTACTGGAGTTAGGTCTGCATTGTCCTGGTGGAGTCTGTTAACATATAAAAGCTAAGAGCTTGTTGAAAGACTACAATTATTACAAATGGAAATGCTAAATATTTTTATGTTTAAAGAGAGAAAAAAGGTCTTAATTCAGAAAAGCTTTAAGCAGGTCTCTAACATTAGTGTGTTCTAACTATGAACGCATCTCTATGAAACATAACCAAAACTTGTTTCTTTAACATCTTATTCTAGTGAGCAAAACCACAGTTTTCTTTAGAACTGCTTATTTCTTGGTCAAAGGTACAGAGAAAATTGTACAGCAGTAACAGGCTGATTTTTATGACAGAAAAATACAAGATGGAATCATTGATGACAAGGAGACATTTGGTCAGACCTTAGAAAGCTTGGTTAAGTCTAAAGTCTTAGTTAGGAATTCCAGGAAGATGTGGGATTTCCCAGGTGAACAGCTCACTGTGTTGGGGGAATGGGATGTGAGATCAGGTCCTGCAGCACCCCTGGGTTCTTTTGCTGGTTCTCCCACGGAGAGTGCAGATGTGTTTGTCAAGTGCATGGTCCCTTTTCACAGCACCCTCCTGCATTTTACATCCCTTGTCAGTGCGGTGGCAACTTGCCAGCGTGGGGAAGTGGGGCAGGACCGTCTATATCTTACAGGCCTCCCATGGATGCCTGCATGGACTCTAGGAGGCCCTGAATATTGGAAACCCTGGTGCCCTGTGGAGTAGAGTTCCCATCGGTGGTAATCCCTAGCCGCCAAGTCCCAGATTCCTCCACTGGTGGCTCTACAGAAAAATAATTCCAGCTAGTTGGAGAGAGATCCAGCAACAGGGAAACAGAGGCACTGTTAGAATCTGCAATGCATCAGGTTCCAGGTGATAGATAGAAATGTTCCTATTTTGTTTTGAGAAAGAAGACACAAAACTCCTCACTCTGCCAGAGGAAATGGAAACGGGCATTTCTGGGTTTCTTGGGGGCTTCCTTGCCAGTCTAGATAACCCTTCGATGAGAAGGTCATTATAATGGCCCATTTGTACCCAGGACCATGCGTAGGTGGATAGATCTGAGTTGTGCAAGAATCCAGTTATAAGCACAATATCGGAAAGGCTGTACTTTCCCTACGTGATACACAGGGTTGATAAGGGACTTTGGTAGGTTCATTATACCCTTCTCTTACCCCAACAATGTTAACCTCTGGGATCTGTTCCCTCCACCTCAGAAACATACGACCTCCTTTAACTTACCAAGTAAAATTGTACCTGCCATAGCCTTCTTCTTCAACTCATTAAAAACGACTATCCTAAAGGATGGCTTCCTGTGGTTAATTCCACCACTTAAAACTTACTCCTGAGAACCTAAACCCTAATCATCCTACTCACCCAACTAACACTCTCTCCTACACACTACGCACAATACGTTTTCCATTACCTATCTGAACCTCCCCAAACCCAAAGAGCCAGCCACTGCCCCACTACACATCCCAGAAGATTATGCTGCACCTAGAGCCGACCCAAGATGTACTGCAAGCAACACCCATCACCAGCAGCTACCATAAAAAATCTAGAGAAACAAAAGTCAGTTATTGAAGATGATACAAACCCAATGATTTACACAGAAAAAGCAGCCCTTGAAATGTCAGTGAACGAATGTTGAGAATATTGCTTAGTGCTGTACAGGAAATTAGGGGATCAATCCTGAAAACAAATGGGAAAAAAAACAGAGATAGTAGAATCCTCACACTGAAGGGAAGTCCAGGAGTTAAGGAATAATACAGCAGAAATAGATAAAGAGATGAATGATCTCAACAGTAGAATAGAAGATTTAAAAAAACCCAATAGGATGGAAGAAATGGAAAACAGAATCTGTGATCTCAAATATAGCCAAGCAGAATTCCACAAATGAGAGAATCAGTCAAGCAAAAAAGCAAAACAATCTGAAGAGAGCCTCAGGAGGATGTGGGGTTCCGTGAAGCGATACCATGTTTGAATTTTGGGGTCCCTGAACAGGAAGACATAAATAAATAATAAAGGAATTCTTGAAAGAAAATGTCCCCAATATCACAAAGGAGGAGACAAGAACCATTAAGGAAGCAGAGAAACTAGCAATGAGATTACACCCTTACCCTAACCCTCCCCTCCCTCCCCACCAAAAAAACCCCACATCAAGACATATAGTAATCAAATGATCCAATTTTGGAAAAGGAAAGAATCATGAGAGCAGCTAGAGTGAAGGAAGCATCATATATAAAGGTAAACAGATAAGAATCAATTCAGGCCTCCCCACAGAGACCATGCAGAAAAGAAGAAACTGGAGCAATGTGCTCTGAAAGTTGAAAGACCACAACTTCAATAGAAGACTCTTTTATCCAACAAAGCTCTCCATCAAATTTGAAGGAGATATTAAAGTTTTCTCTAATAAGGCCAGGATGTCAGAATTGATTATTCTTAAGTTAGAGCTAGGCTTTAATGGGAGCCCAAAACCCATTCCTGGATCTATGCTTTTTTAAAAAAAATTTGCTGTAACTTGGGAGTTAAGACATATGTCATATCATTCTATAATACGGTCATGTCAAACACAATTGTACAATTGCTTCCAGAATCAGTCTCCAAACATACTTTTATTTCCTGAGCCAACAATGAAAATTACACAATTCGAAGATGGCAATGGGGCATGTCGGGAGCCCCGATCCATCTGCAGAGTCTCTAGTCAGACTCAGTCACTGGCAGGTCTGCTTTAGTCACAAGTAAGAGTCTTGAGCAGCCTTATGATCAGTTAGGGACCATTGTTATTTTGATAATGCTGGATCAAACTCCACACTTGGCCAGCCGACCACCCTATAGATGCAACCTGAATTTGTTCTGGGTGCAAGTATCTCTTACTGGTTCCATGAAAGAAATTTCTTCCCTGGCTTTATGAATGTTAATGGGGCTCTTTGCCTTCTTAAGCATTATTTGTATTTTTCTCTTGGAACTATTATGATTTTATCCTTACCACCTTAGTGAGATTTTTTTTTTTTCTGTTGGGTCTCCTAGCTGTGAAGCACAAGTGGAATGGATGCATAATGATAACTCATAGAAGGGGATATTGGGAATACAGGAGTGGAGGGGTGGGTGATAGGGAGGGAAAGGGAATTTGGGGAGGAAATAATGAAGGCAGGAGGGGGGAGGGAGCACTAGAATGGTTTGTGATTGCATAACTGGTTTTAAAGGTGATTTAACCATGGGGGTTTGGGGGATGCTCTAAAATTGATGCAATGATTGTCCAGTTCTCCTTGATATGATTGAATGATTGAACTCTTGATTGTATGATATGTAAACCATGTGCCAATAAAACTGTTGGGGGAAAAAAAAGAGTTAGTCTTGGAAACTCACAAGGGCAGTTCTACCCTGTCTTATGGAGTCACTATGAGTTGGCGTCAACTTAGTCGATGGTAGTGAGTTTGGAGTTGGAGTTATATTAAAAAGTTCTGTTAAAACAATAACAAATGTCTTAATTCCAAGAATGCTCTTCCTCACTGCTCAAAGTGCTTCTGCAAAGAGTCATCCAGCTATCTTTTTAAAAACAGAGAGTAGTTAAACACAGCTTGCTTTATTCCTGCCTATATCCCCATTGCCACCCAGTGGATTACCATTTCTAGCAATGCTTTAGGTTTTCCACGGCGATACATACTGATGGAAGTAGACTTCCACGTCTTGCTCCTGCAGAGCATCTCATGGGTTCCAACTGCCAACCTTTTGGTTAGCAGCCAGACTCAGAAACACATAGTTGACTAATTGTACTTATTTTTAATAGAAACTTGTAAATGTTAAGCTTGCTAAGATTGACCTTGAGTCTTTAATTAGTGCCTATGATGTTCAAATACATCTTGCCTATCTGAGTCACTGTGGTTATATGGTCTTTTCATTTATAGAATATTAAATTAATGGCATTTTCTGTTCAGTCGCAGAAATCTTGGATTGAAGGAGTATTTGACAAGAGAGAATGCAATACGATTATACCCAGCTCAAAAGACCCCCACAGGTACAACTTTTAATTAAAAATAACTTTAAAAATAAATAGAATTCCTTGAGGGACTGTTTGTGAAACCTAGTTAGAGATATAACTATTTAGCAGGTTTGATAATATCTATAAACAAGTACTCATTTATCTTCAATCTCTTTTTTCTATTTATAAAAGCAATACTTTGTCATGGTAGAAAATTTGCTAAGAACAGGGGCCTTATTAAATAGTACTTCACTTCAACCTCAGTCTATAGCAGCATCTGCCACACTTGAGAAATATCTGTTGAATGAATTAATAAAGAGGAAAACATCAGCTATAATTGATGGAAGTGCTCTTAACCTTGTGGTGGATTTTATTTCATTCTTTTCTCTTTGATTCACTTATTCTTCCTGATGAAGGTAGGGGCATGGTAGCAGGAAAATATCTATTGCTACATACTTCCGGTGAGGTTTGGGTGAATAAACTTTCTGACAGCTGACAATTATTGTGACTGTTTCTTACCCACAAATAAATTGCTGGTATGATGGCTCTTTGGGGTATTTCCGGCCACTGTGTGGAGACTATGCAAACAACTGGTTTGAGTTCCATGTTCCTCCACAGATTTTCATACTAGCCAATGGTCAGCAACCCGGAATGACTTGAGGCTGAGTCCTCTAAGTTCTTGACCACCCGTTAGAAACTCTGCTTGTAGAACAAAGTTCACAACAGCAGTCAGTGAAAGAGAGAGGAAAATCCCCCAGAGTAATCGTGTCCATGGAATTACGATTGAA